GCGAAACAGAAATAACATACACTCGCATGGTGGTCACCCGGTCGGGGTCTAACAGCATGCGTTGCTGCTCGAACGAGACTACCTTTGACATTTCTGTCGTAAGGCACAGTTCAACATATGGACAGTTTTCGTCAGAGTCGAGTCCGTAGCTGTCGTCTTCGACCATGGTGCACAGGGGAGGGATCGCGAGTGCGTCCCCGCTTAGGCAGGTGTCCCCGCTGTTCCTCAGCTACAGTGATCAACGCACTCTGGTCAGGAACCATCTGTGTGGGTACGGTAAACAGGTCTTCTAGTGGAGATGCCTTCAACAATTCCTTTGCCAGGCGCAACTCTGCGCACCGTGCCTCCATGACATGCGACTCAAGGTCAGCCTCTGATTTCTCGTAGATCGTAGACAGCCGTCCGTCATCATGTTCTGGTTCGGCTTCTGAAGCCTCCCTCGCGGCTCCTTCAGGTGCCGGCGCATCAGCCAAGTTCTCAAATTGGTGACACGTCCTGATCGAAGCCCGCCCGAGGTTGTGTGGACTTCAGGCATTCGATGATTCGTGAATGTGCTGATCCAGTTATATCATGTATATTCAGAGCAGTACCTTCTGCTCATAGTAGTGGAATCCTGGATTCACACCGCTATCGCAATGAACCAATGTGCAACTGTCAGCATAAGTAACCGGGGGTAGCTCATGTATACGCTCGGCTAAATCTGACCGAAAATACGCTCTCGATGCGGAAGAAGTTTCTGATGAGATATTGCAAAGCCAAATGTACTTTTGGAGATAGACGACTTGCCGCTGTCATCTGAAGTGCACTTTCTTGACCGGCACGTAGCCAAATATCAGCGCAGGTCCCGCCGCTGAAAGGCTAGCTACGAACGTCAACACCGTGCGTAGCGCAGCGCTGTCGGAACCAATCTCCCGGGCTATGAGTGCTTCAATGTAGAGCGAGTGTCTTGCATCGCCGTATTGTACTTGAACATCTCGATAGCCTGCTCGGATGATGACCTGACCTCTTTCGGGGCCATTCCTTCCAACTGGGAACGGGCCTTTCCAGCTTGCCCGTCATCTTTAGTAGCCGTAGGCCGATGGTAGTCAACCAAATCTCCTTAGTCATAATAGTGCTGACCTGTAAGTGTCGTCTTAGTGCGTAGAGCGCGATTGGTCTTAGCTGCTGCCGTGGCCTGTGTGATCGCCTCAGTGCATGCCCTGCGCATTGTCTGTTCACGAGAACGATCTGACGTTTCTGCCGACTGCTCGCGGTCCAGAACAGGAAGGCCAGGGGGCATTGCTGCTTGCCGTCCGAAGAATGCACTGCATGGAGATACCTCGTTCTAGAATGTGAATGCGTTGGCAGCAAACAAGGCTTCATGCAGTAGTCTAGTGAACACAAGAGGTATGTCTAACCTATTGAGTTCAGCCTCCAGTAGATGACGTAGGATGCCATTTCTGGCCTCGATCGTCGTAGCGTGCTTTCCACGCGCGCGCATGCTAAGTTCAATGCCTTTTGCCCTGAGGACTGCTCTCGCAGTGTCATTATTAAGGGCGCCTTCTCCATCCGAGTAAAGTACCTTAGCTGGTCCAAACTGCATCCAGCACTGATGACATGCATCCAGGATGGTAGTCATAGTTTTAAATGGTATTTCCATCCCAGTAGCATATCGTGCACAAATATCGATAATGTGAAATCTAATGTGTTCTGGCTTGTAGAACATCATGTCACATTCCACTTCGTCATTCAATTTGCCAGGTACTGCAGTAGAAGGCATAACTGCGCGTCCAGGTTTGCCCCGAGCTCTGCATTCGCGGCGCGCGTCGCAGACGCCGCTGGTGAGTTTAAGTCTAACATTATCCAGGCCTATTTTGCTTAAGATGAGACTCGTCTTAGGCTCGCATGGAACCAACGCAAGTGCAGCTTTCGCAGCTCGCGTATAATCACGCTGGGGTCAAGGCTTCGCAGATTGTGTAAGCTGATTTGTGCGTCGAACCGTGACCAATCTGGTAATCGTGGTCGCGCGGCAGGATCCCCTGCTGCTGGCGGCGGAGGCGCCTCTCCACCTTGCTGTCGACCACGTCTGACTCTAACCTGCGGCAGTCGGAGGTGGTCATCCGAGCTACCAGCTCCACTTGAGGCAGGTGGCCCTGCAGCAGGCTTCGCAGCATGTCTTCCAACAAAAATGTCGCGACTGCTTGCGCCCACGGTAGGTCCCTCAAGCCAGGTCTAGGTGCTCTCAGTCGCGTTAGTGCCGGTGGTGCTGGTGCCTCAATCGGCGGCGCTGCTGCTTCGGCAAAACCTGGCGGCGCAGGTCCTGCTGCCAGTCCGACGGGGGCCGGCGGGATCTGTCCATGGTTGTCGGGGAGCTTCCAAGGCTTGGCAAACTTGCATTTGCCATGTGTTAGCACATGTCCAGGTTTGTTCTTCCCGTAGTTCTTCTTAGTACTCGAACACTCCCAACGATAGCCCCCCTTATCGCACCATCTGCAGTGTCTCGGATTTCCATCATGAGATGGAGAATGCATGTTGACGTTATCCGCGCAGGCAGGAAAGCCCCCCCCCGACGGTGGCCTCGCAATCGAGCCATCAGGTTGTCGTCGAAGACCCGGGTCGTCCAAACCGCACCCACTTGCGTTGGTCGCCAACGCGGCGGACGAAAATGGGCAACCATGGAAAGGATCCCGAGTTGTCTGGAAGAGATCGTGTGAGATCTGAACAGATTCAAAAAAAAGCGACTGCATCTTGGGTGTATATTGCGCAGCCCTGGACAGTTCCCTATTGCACGCCGACGCGCGTGGGCGATGACCAGTGCATCGCTTGCGTTCGAAAAGAATGAGTAGTAAGCGATGGTTGGCCTTGATCCCAATCGGTTTTCGCATCAGTACCCTGCAAGTAGACCTGTAGTACATTGATCCACATGTACTGTGCAAGTGCCCTTGCTGTTGGCCAACGAAGTCCATGGCGGTATCTGATTCACCCAAGTCCCAACTGGTTGTTCTCGTAAATAAAACAGTCGAGGATCATTCCGGCGCCCAGATACATTCCCACAGAACTTGATGTGTGGCAAATCCTCTTTATGATGTTCATGCCAGGTGTCGTAGTTAACCTTGGCTTTGAAGTCGGAAGGCAATCCGGTCGTTCTGCAGCTGGGCTGTAGTATGACAAACTTAACGAAGCAAGCGTCTAAATCGCGCATCGCTGCATCTTGAACCTCTTTGTTTCCGAGATCAACGAAGGCACGTTTGTCGAGGCTTCCCCCTGAAGACAGACCTCGGATGAATGCTGGTTGGGAGATGCCTCCAATTCCCCCGCATAGTTCTAACATATATACCTCGCTGTGTCGTCCTTAACACCAGGTGGGGATCATGGAGAATAAATTTGCGCAGGATTCAGAAGGTCGCCCTGCAGGTAGAATGGCGAAGGTCTGCTGTTCACCGTTGCTATCCGTATCGGAATCCAAAGGTACGTCGGAGTAGTACGCGCTGCGCCCGAGTCCTTTGAGGTCGTCTCCACAGTCGTCATTGCCTTCTTCGACTACTTTGGGTATCTTGCGCGGTTTGATGCCAGTTTCTTTGTCTGCTTTCTGTTTCTCTTTTTGCTTAATTCTGGCATCTGTTGGTGGTGTTGTCTGTTGTTCTGTTTCTGATGAGCCCAGGGTCGGTAGAGGGAAACAATTACTGAACAACCCCCCTCCCCCCCAAACTCAACGTTGGCACGCGCGGGGGAGACTGCGGTCGAATTGCATCTCGCCCGACCCACCGCCAACTTTGAACGTCGGGGGGAGGGAGAAGCGTTGACGGATGAATGTGGCATGAAGGTTCGCTAATTTGTCCCGAGGCCTGTGGGCACGTTGCCCGGCGCGCGGCTGCCCTCGAACTGATTGGGGCGCAAACGTACAGGACGAGGTACACAGGAAAATGCTCGAAGGGAGGACCCGGGAGGAGCCGTCGCAACCGCGGCAAAAACCAAACCGTCAGCCGTGGACTTACCCCAGACTGAACGACGCACTTGCTGTGGGCCTTACCCCCGCGGGCCTGCCCCCGTGGGCCTGCCGAACTTGACGCTTTGCTGTTCGACATTCACGACGGACCACGGCGGCGGCCGACTGAAAACGGCGACGACGTCGGGGCACCAAGCAAGAAACGGCCAAACCGGCTGCACGTTGGCATGTCTAGCGCCTCCCCAACGGCCCCGGACCCCCCCGGAGGCGCTTCGCGCACCCCATTCTATTGTTCGCGCATTACTCGCATCACTCGTCCCATCACTCCTTATGTTTCACATGTTAATCGTATCACGCGTAGGAAAAAAGAAAATAGCTCAAGAAAATCATTGTCTTTCTACGAGTGATACGAGTAATTTATGAAACATGAGGAGTAACGGGACGATTGCTACGAGTAATAAGCGAAAAAAGGCGCCAAAACACGGGGCCAAAGGTGGTGCACACACGCACGCACACATATATATATATATATATATGTGCATGATCACATAGAAATATGTGCATGCATGTATGTGTATTTATATATATATAGATATATGTACGTACATATTTGTCGATATATGAACATCCGCAACAACAACATCATCATATGGCAACAAAAACACCCACAGAGTCGCCTGGCCAACTCGGGGCGGCTCGGGCGCCAGAACACAGGACAAAACACATGCCATATACATACATATACAAATGTGTATATGTGTATACAATATGTATATAAACATATGTATGTGTAATGCATGTGTATAAACATATGTATATATATATATAAGTATACATATATTTATATACATATATATATGGGCTCTGTCGTATCCCCGCCCCCCTGAAAAACTGTGCAGAAGTGCAGGCTCCGTTTCGCTCCTCCGATCTCCCCCTCTTCCCCACTTCTCCTCCTTCTTCTCCATCCTACTCCGCCGCCTCTGCATCCGCGAACACTTTTCTCTCGCGAGCAAGGGCCCAGCCGCGCCCGCATCTCATTGCGTTCGCCAATGCTCTGTGCTTTGTGAAGGCGTCCTCAGATCGCGGCGCCGCGCGCAACGAAGTCATTGGACGCGGCCAGGCCCCGCGTCGCGCTGGCCATCGCGCCGCCGACGTTGACGTAGAAGACGTACTCGTCCATCCCTGCCTCGCTCAGGTGGAGGTGGCCGCAACGCTTGCGTGACCATCCCTTGGCGCGAGCGTTCTCCGACTCCACGTCGTTGGTGTGGAATCCAGTCTTCTTGTCCCTGTGCTGGTTGCCCTCGTGAACCACCGCGCGGGGGGCTCTCGAAACCTAGTTCCCCCAGGGCTGAACGCGTTGAGGTCCACCCGTCGGACGCGACCATCGACTTCTTGCGCACGCGGCTCGCCAAAGCCTCCCTGATCTCTTCGAGGCCCCGCGGCTCGCCATTGTGGGCGTCGGCCTTGCGCGGCAGGAGCTTGTACGTCACCCTCTTCCTGAGGTCCTGGTGCGTGTAGACGTCAAACTTGTCGCCCACGAGTGCGGCGATCCAGAGCCAGCGGCCGTTGCTCTTCAAGTTGGCGGCGGGCCTCTTACGAATGGCTACGTTCTTCCGCGGGGGGGCCCTCTTCATCGGCTTCTTCATCGGCCTCTTCATCGGCCCCTTCATCGGCCCCTTCATCGGCTTGCTCTTGAGCTTGAAGGAGCCCTTCTGCACTTGCTGGGTGTTGTAGCCCGTCCGCGCTGGCAATCGCTTCAGGATCTGCTTCCGCACCAGCTTGGTGGTCCTGCGCGGCCCTGCGCGCGCCGTAGTGGCCCCGCCTTTGTTCACGCTCCTGGATTCGAGCACCCATCCGTCCGCCTTATCGACGCCGATCACCGTCTCGTCGACGACCACGGTGTCCCCCTTCTTGCCGCCGGCCATGAGGGCGTCCAACGCAGGCAGCGCTTTCCCCGAGCATTCCTGGTTGAGCTGCTTCCAAACGGAGATCGTGCCCCTGTGAATGTTGCCGAACAGGTCGGCCATCTCGTCTTGGACGTCCTTGAGGTTGCGCCCCAAGCGGAGGTTGTTGATCAAGTACAGGAAAGGCATCCACGAGTTCACAGGAACCTTCGTGAGGAAGCCGTGCGAGTTCACAGGTTCGCAGAAGTGCTTGTGCCCGACGGTCTTGCACGACCAGCGGTAGGTGTTCCACTCGCGGTCGGCGCGGGCTTCGAACTTCGTCGGCCCGCCGCACTCGGCGCGCCCGCTAGGCCGAGCAGCGACGCCGCAGTGGAGGAATATGGCAATCGCGCGCAGGCTCAGCGTGTCCTCCAGCCCATCTGGAAACAATATGGGGCGCCGCAGCACGTGCTCCTCGAAGGCGGCGTTGCTCGCGAACCACTCGTCGCAGATGGAGCGCTGCCATTGCTTGAAGGAGACGGGCGCCACGCGGACGCCCGCGAGGCCTCCAATGCGAGCGGTCTTCGGCATCGGGCCAGCGCCCCCGACGCGCGCCCTGCCGACGCTTGCTTCGAGCCAAAACAGCTGCGGATGGTTGGAACTGGGCAGCCGCCACAGGTGGCGGCGACAACGAAATCTCCAACGTTTCAATAACGTCCGTATACTATCGAACTGGGGCAGGGAGAACAAGGCGAACTCGGGGCGAGCGGAGGAGACGACGACGACGACGACGACGGCGGCGACGGCTCTTGGGTCATCGCAGTCGGTCAGAATAACAACTCAGAGTGCAATCATCATGGTGTTCATATGGGGGCCCGCGAAGCGCGCTGGGTGTCCATCAGAGGCTCGGCGGCGGCCGCCCCGCCCGAGCCTGATATCCTACCCCCAAGCGCCGTCGACGCCGCGCTCGCCCCCGCCCGCGGCCGCGCGCTCAATCCTCCTGAGGCCCGATGAAATTCGCCGCGTCCTCTTCCTCCCCCGCAGACGGCAGGGGCACCTCCACGCCGTCGGCGCCCAACATCTGCGAGAGCTGGACGTCGAGCTCGCCGCGGGGCGGCGCAGAGGGCCTCGCTGCAGAGGACGACGCCGCGGCATGCTGCTTGGCGGGGGACGGGCTATCGACGTTGATCGCCATCCCCGAGAGCAGACGCTTCCGAAACATCAGGCGCTCAAGGGACACGGGCTCCCGCTTGACCTGTCGGAAGCTCAGAAGTGGGGCCCGGGTGGGGGCGCGCCCCTAAGGACGAGGAAGGGTTTCAGCAAGTGAATCGCTTCGAAACGCCCCCTCGCCCATAGGGCCACGCCCCTCGGCGCCTCATCTTTGAGCCCCGAAACCTGGGCGATCGCAAGGGCCGGCAAAGCGCCGACGGCCGCGTCCGAGGACTTCTTGCGGTTCTTCTCCACTGCGGAATCAACGAGGAGCCGCTCCTTCTCCAAGAGCTGATCGAAGTTGTCGGGCGGCGTCATGTCGCCGTCCTTCTGCAGCTGGCACAGGCGCTCCCCCTCGCCTGTCAGAAAGGCTTCCCCCTTGAAGTGGATGCGCTGCACGTCCTTCTCCTCGGTGCCTGGCGGGCGCCAGTATAGATGTTCCTGCGTGTTCACGAGGAACGCAGCGCGCTTAAGGGAAGCCAACATGCAAGCGCGGGTTGCTGTCTCGTGGAAGGCAGGGCGCACGAGCTCGAAGAACTCCTTGAACGTCACGGAGGGCCAGCGGTCTAGCTTCTCAGCATTCGGGTCGCATGCCTGGTCAGCCATGCACCGAGGCTCGCCCATCTTCCATGGTGTCGCGCGCCCCACCTGGCCCAGCACATGCTCTCGCACTGGCCGACGTCCAGCAGAGCCTTCACCATCTTCGGCGGGAGGAGGTTCGAGCGCCCGTCGTCAACGAAACCCCCCATCAGAATGTCGCCTGGCTCGCCGCGTAGGAAGTCGATCTCAGGCGTCACGCGGATGGGGCAGCGCGCGGGGTCCAACCCGTTTGCCCTCGCGCTCCTGCGGCACATTGCCATCAAGAACGCGCGCCCGAGCGGTGTCTTGCCGACGCTGGGCTCCCCAATGAGGACAAGCGAAAGGTTGCTGCTGATGAGGTCCGCCATGACATTGAGAACGCGAAGGTTGAAGTGCTCATCGCAAAGGGTCACGATGTTACCGAACTCCTTCTTCGCCAGAGCGCCCTCCGCCGCCAAGGAGCGCAAGGACTTCTCAACGAGGCCGATGGGCCATCCGCGGAGGGGCACCCCTGCCCTCATTGCGATCGTCTGCCAGCGCGCCTGCTGCAAGCCCACCGTGGACTTCGGGGCCTCGTTGATGATGTAGTCGAAGCCAGCGTTGATCTCATCGTCGCTCTTCTCATAAAAAGCGTTCTGGGTGGCCTTCGCCTTGGCTTCGGGCGAGAGGAAGAATTGGCGGAACTGTTTGCCGCCAAAGGCTTCAAACACGTATTGCCAGACCTTCGTGCCGATCTTCGGGTGCACGGAAACCAGCCTCCGCGGCGCCCCATAGGCCAACTCCTTGAAGGGCGCGAACTTCATCTTACGTTCGGGGCTCTTAAGGACGATGTGATTGAGGATTGTTTTGGCGCCGCCCTGGCCGTCCAAAATAGCGAACTGGAGCTGAGTTTCTGGCGGGGGCGGGCTCTTGAAACCGCGCGGCGCAAGGAGGCCGCTCCAGTCGTTGTTCTCGGACGCTCTCTTGTAGAGTTCATCCAAGTTGGCTGGGGCGGCATCCGCGTGGTTCACAACTAAGTCGATGTAGTGTGCCAAAGCGTTGTCCTGCGGCGTCACTTCCTTGGTGAACTCGCCCAGAATGTCAGCCGCGATCCTCGTGGGAGTTGTCGGGGTGACCAGCGGCGCCGAGAGTGCGCGCAAGAAGTACCCCTCGACGCGCCCCTTGATGTCCTCGCACATGGCCATAGCGAGTCGAGGCGGCGCGGCGGGCGGCCGAGACGCGGCGAGAGCTTTGCGGTCGAGCCCAAACCGCTACGAGCTAATGCCGTTCGCTCCTCTCGGCGTAGCTCCGCGTCCGCCACGGAGGGGCATCCGTTTTTTGGGATGCCCCTCCAGAGTAGCGCCGTGGAAGCGCTTTGCAGTGTTGAAATCTTGGTTTGTGGTGTGGTATCATCACTGATGCTAGGCCGTTGCTGGTGTCGTTGCGTAACAAGTGTGCGACCATGTGGCCTTGTGTTCGGGCACAATGATGGGAACCCGTTTTTTGGGTTCCCTCCTGGGTCCGCGTCCGCCACAGAGGGGCATCCGTTTTTGGATGCCCCTCCAGAGTAGCGCCGCGGAAGCGCTTTGCAGTGTCGAAGACTTGGTTTGTGGTGTGGTGTCATCACTGATGCTGAGCCGTTGCTGGTGTCGTTGCGTAACAAGTGTGCGGCCATGTGGCCTTGTGTTCGAGCACAGTGATGGGAACCCGTTTTTTAGGTTCCCTCCTGGGTCCGCGTCCGCCACGGAGGGGCGTCCGTTTTTCGGATGCCCTCCAGAATAACGCCATGGAAGCGCTTTGCAGTGTTGAAATCTTGGTTTGTGGTGTGGTATCATCACTGATGCTGGGCCGTTGCTGGTGTCGTTGCGTAACAAGTGTGCGACCATGTGGCCTTGTGTTCGGGCACAATGATGGGAACCCGTTTTTTTGGGTTCCCTCCTGGGTCCGCGTCCGCCACAGAGGGGCATCCGTTTTTGGATGCCCCTCCAGAGTAGCGCCGTGGAAGCGCTTTGCAGTGTCGAAGACTTGGTTTGTGGTGTGGTGTCATCACTGATGCTGAGCCGTTGCTGGTGTCGTTGCGTAACAAGCGTGCGGCCATGTGGCCTTGTGTTCGAGCACAGTGATGGGAACCCGTTTTTTTGGGTTCCCTCCTGGGTCCGCGTCCGCCACGGAGGGGCATCCGTTTTTCGGATGCCCTCCAGAGTAACGCCATGGAAGCGCTTTGCAGTGTTGAAATCTTGGTTTGTGGTGTGGTATCATCACTGATGCTGGGCCGTTGCTGGTGTCGTTGCGTAACAAGTGTGCGACCATGTGGCCTTGTGTTCGGGCACAATGATGGGAACCCGTTTTTTTGGGTTCCCTCCTGGGTCCGCGTCCGCCACAGAGGGGCATCCGTTTTTGGATGCCCCTCCAGAGTAGCGCCGTGGAAGCGCTTTGCAGTGTCGAAGACTTGGTTTGTGGTGTGGTGTCATCACTGATGCTGAGCCGTTGCTGGTGTCGTTGCGTAACAAGCGTGCGGCCATGTGGCCTTGTGTTCGAGCACAGTGATGGGAACCCGTTTTTTGGGTTCCCTCCTGGGTCCGCGTCCGCCACGGAGGGGCATCCGTTTTTCGGATGCCCTCCAGAGTAACGCCATGGAGGCGCTTTGCAGTGTCGAAATTTTGGTTTGTTGTGTGGTATCACCACTGATGCTGAGCCGTTGCTGGTGTCCTTGCGTAACAGGCGTGCAACCATGTGGCCTTGTGTTCGGGCACAGTGATGGTAACCTGTTTTTTGGGTTCCCTCCTGGGTCCCTTCCTGGGTTCCCTCCTGGGTCCCCTCCTGGGTTCCTTCTTGGGTCCCCTCCTGGGTTCTCTCCTGGGTACCCTCGTGGGTTCCCTCCTGGGTCCCTTCCTGGGTTCCCTCCTGGGTCTCATCCTGGGTCCCTTGCTGGGTTCCCTTTTGGGTCCCCTCCTGGGTTCCTTTTTGGGTCCCCTCCTGGGTTCTCTCCTGGGTACCCTCGTGGGTTCCCTCCTGGGTCCCTTCCTGGGTTCCCTCCTGGGTCTCCTCCTGGGTCCCTTGCTGGGTTCCCTTTTGGGTCCTCTGCAGGAGCGTCTCTGGGACATCTCTGGGGCCTCCCTGGTGCCTCTCTGGTGCCTCCAGGGGTGTCCTGGGGCCTCCTGGGAGCGTCCGGAGCCGTCCGCCCCCCACGGGGGCCTGGCGGAGGGGGGTGAAAAACCAAAGAAACCTAAGGAAAAACCAAAAAAAACAAAGAAATCAAAGGCAGACCACCGAAAAACCAAAAAAAACCTAAGGAAAAACCCAAAAAAAAAAAATTTCAGTGTTTCGTCCACCCCCGCGCCCCCAAGAGAAAGTATTGAAATCTTTGTTTTTTTGTTTTTTTGTTTTTCCTTAGGTTTTTTTGGTTTTTCGGTGGTCTGCCTTTGATTTCTTTGGTTTTTTTGTTTTTCCTTAGGTTTTTTTGGTTTTTCCTTGCCGTTGTTGTTTTTCGCTCGCCCCTTGCCTGGATGCCACGGATGCAGACTCTCTTCAGAACAATGGCAAGACAGAGGAGGAAGACGACGACGACGACGACGAGGACGACGACGAGGGTTTCCTATGGTTTTGCTTGATTCCGCCTTCGATAGGGGAATCTGATTGGGAGGAGGAGGAGGAGGAGGAGGAGGAGGAGGAGGAGGAGGAGGAGGAGCAGGAGGAGGACGAGGAGGAAGAGGACCCTGGACAATCGGCCCCCTCTGCTCAGTTTGTCAGGGGGGCGGGGATACGGCAGGACCCATATATATACACATATATATATATATATGTATATGTACACAAAAAACACCCGGGTGACCCACCCACCTGGGTGATCCCGCTGCGTTGTATACGCTGTCTTATACGACGCCGCGATTCTAAATGAAAAACAAGATGTGCAAACCCGATGTGAAAATTAGCCGCTGGATGTAAGAGCCGACCACATGAACGATGCATATGTAAACGCACACACAATCGTCCCTGCGTCGGCACACACACACACACAATCGCCACTGCGTTGCAAAACGCTGGTGGCCCACCCACTCGGTTGACCCACCCACTCGGGTGACCCACCCGCCCGGGTGACCCACCCACCTTGGTGTTGTCGCTGTGTTGTATACGTTTTCGTAAACAGCGCCGCGCTTCTAAATCGAAACGCGAGTTGTGAAACCCAGTGTGCAGATTCATTCTGTGGTTAAAAGCCGACCACCTGAACGATGCATATGTAAAATGACAAGCACAATCGTCATCGCGTCGGCACAAACTGGCGACCCACCCACTCGGGTGACCCACCCACTCGGGTGACCCACCCACCCGCGTGACCCACCCACCCGCGTGACCCACCTGGGTATTTTCGCTTCGTTGTATACATTTTCGCACGCGGCGCCGCGACTCTACATCGAAAAACCCAATGTAAAAAATGCATTCCCTGGGTGTTGGAGCCGACCACATGAACGATGCATACGTAATAACACACACACACACACACACACACACACGCACGCAATCGTCATTGCGTCGGCACACACAGGTGACCTACCCAGTCGGTTGACCCACCCCGTCGGGTGACCCACCCACACGGGTGACCCACCCACCTGGGTAATTTCGCTGCGTTGTATACGTGTTCGTATACAGCGCCGCGTTTCGAAATGGAAAAACGAATTGCGAACACCCAGTATGCACATACATATATATATATATATATATATATATATATATATATATATATATCGCTCGTACCTGAGGGGCGCCACCAGGGTCCTTCCGAGGCCTACGCGGGCACTCTAGTCAACCCAACGAGAGCCACTGCTGCTCGTCGAATTTCGTACAGATGACCAGTCCACTCCACTTGATGGAGCGACGGCGGAAGCGAGACACGCGCAGTGTTATACATGTGGAACGCCATGGCTATGGCCCCCACGGCCTCGAGAGTCGGGGCTCCATTGAGCCCGATCCTGGCCAGTACACAATTCGGGGGGTCACTTTTGCGTCGGCACACACTGGTAACCCACCCGCTCGGGTGACCCACCTGCTCGGGTGGACCTGCTCGGGCGGCCCACCCACACGGGTGACCCACCCACCTGGGTGATTTCGCTGCGTTGTATACGTTTTCGTAAACAGCGCCGCGATTCTAACTCGAAGCGCGAGTTGTGGAAACCCGATGTAAAACTGATTTTCTGGGTGTCAGAGCCGGCCATATGAACGATGCAAACGAAGAAAACACAAACAATCGTCATTGCGTTGGCACGAACTGGTGACCGACCCACTCGGGAAAGCCACACACTCGGGTAGTCCACCCACACGGGTGACCCACCCACCTGGGTGATTACAATGCGCTGTATACGTTTTCGTACACAGCGCCGCGAGTCTAAACCGAACATCGAAATGTGAAAACCAATGTAAACATTCATTCCTTGGGTGTGCGAGCCGACCACATGAACGATGCATCTGTAAAAATACATCTTCACCACTGCGACGGCACACCCTGGTGACCCACACACTCGGGTGACCCACCCACCCGGGTGACCCACACACCTGGGTGATCCCGCTGCGTTGTATACGAGTTCGCATAGAGCGCCGCGATTCAAAATGGAAGAACAAGTTGTGAGAACCCAATGTAAGAAATCATTCTCTGCGTGTAAGAGCCGACCACATGAACGATGTACATGTTTTGTATATTATTTTCTGGGTTGAAAAAAACACTCTCGCCATTGCGACGGCACACCCTGGTGACCCACACACTCGGGTGACACACCCGCCCAGATGACCCACCCACCTGGGTGATGTCACTGCGTTGTATACGTTGTCGTGTACAACGCAGCGGTTCTGAATCGAAAAACGAGTCGTGAACACCCCATGTAAAAAATCATTCTCCGGGGTGTAAGCGCCGACCACCTAAACGATGCATATGCAACACACACACACAATCGTCGTGGCGTCGGCACACACTGATGCATTGGGCATGGCGCCTGGGGTATTAGGAATGGGGCAAGCCCCGTGGCGCCACGGGGCTTGGGGCATTGTAGTAGTAGTAGTAGTAGTAGTAGTAGTAGTAGTAGTAGTAGTAGTAGTAGCAGTGGTAGCAGTGGTAGTAGTAGTAGTAGTAGTAGTAGTAGTAGTAGTAGTAGTAGTAGTAGTAGGAGTAGTAGTTGTAGTAGTAGTAGTAGTAGCTACGTACGAATGCGGCAGTTGG